CACCGCCCTGTCCGTCAACGGACGTGGTCAGCGCCGCCCACCGCCCTGTCCGTCAACGGACGTGGTCAGCGCCGCCCACCGCCCTGTCCACGGGCGGACGTAGTCAGCGCCGCCCACCACCCTGTCCGTCAACGGACGTGGTCAGCGCTGCCCACCGCCCTGTCCGCAGGCGGACGTGGTCAGCACCGCCCACCGCCCTGCTCACGAGCGGACGTGGTCAGCGCCGCCCACCGCCCTGCCCGCAAATGGACATGGTCAGTATGGCCCATCACACTGCCCGCAAACGAGCGTGGTCAGCACCGTCCACCCCGGCCCACGAACGGACGTGAGGGTTCGCAGGCGCGAACAAGATTGGTGTGAGAAGCCCGAGCGCCGATTATGCGCTGTCGTCGGCTGTGTTGATGACGCACAAACACGCAAACGCACGCACAAAAGCGTACTCATGCACAAGAACACCAAGTGGATGTCAGGCAAGCCATTTCATCACGCAGACTGGAAGCTCGCCTATGTCGTGCCAGCAAGCATGGTAATAAAGCGCTGTGCCTGTTGTATAGTACGCATGCCGGACATATTCACTGCGAAGGTATCGAACATGATATAACAATCTAGGCACTATCGTCCACATAATAAATTTGACATCAATTTGTTTTCGCATTTAAGTATACGAAATTATTGCGCTGATGGTTTTAGTGGGGATCATTTCAGTCATGCACCTGACCAAACAATCCGAAACTTGATGAGGACAAATAACTTCTACTTCACGCTAATATACCAACTCTGACTGCAACCACTCAATGACAGTGGTGGAAATGAGCAGCATAAAAGGTTTGACAGCGTTCAGCCACAGGGACACCGCAAATAGCATGACAGCATGACAAGTACCCGCCCATGCTTAGCCTACCCAACGTTAATAGGTCTATATCTGGCAGTGTAAATCACTATTGCCGTTTCGTGTTCTACATTAGGACTTATCGTGAAAGCCCATTGCGTTTAGCGCAGATCTCGCAAGCTTTGTTACTTTCGGGCAGTTAGTTTAAGCTGCTAAGCCCATGACGCCATTCCACGTGACTTGTTGCAAACAGCAAGGTGTTTTCGTTTTGCACGATACATCAAGCGCCCCTCCACATGCAGCCTGTTGCAAGCGGTAAGACCTGCAAGCTGTGTTGTAGGTCATGCACCGTACGCTACTACCGAATGACCCACAAGCCCCGCATTGCCCTGACCGCACCGAAACTCCTCGTGAAGCGGTGTTCCTTCGAGCGGGTCGTAAGCCTAGCGCCCCCTCTCCCCCTCCCCCGCCTTACGGTACGTGGCGAGGCGGTGAGCGTGAGGTCAGGCCGATACGAGCGAAGGATGAGCCCAAGGGTGAGCCCCTGGTGGCGACGGTGTCTACCAACCACCCCGCCCACGGTGTCTACCGACCACGACCACCCCGCCCACGCCCAGTCACCCCAGGGGAGGGCGACACCGCACAACAGGCCCAAATGGTCCGTCGGGAACGGCTGACGTCATAATAACACAGCCCCAGGGCCTGCCGGAAGGAGTGACGCCACCATAGCACGGCCCGAGGGTCTGACGGGAGGAGTGACGCCACCATAACAAGGCCCGAGGGTCTGCCGGGAGGAGTGACGCCACCACAACAAGGCCCGAGGGTTTGCCTGCGAAGGGTGACGACACTTTGACACGGCCCGAGGGTCTGCAGGAACACCTCTATAACAGGACCTGCGACGAGGCCCATGCTGACCCAGCGGGCCCGCGGGGGCGCGGGTGCATGCCTGCCTGCAACCTGACACTCGACACCACGTTCTGGCCCATTCATTAGATCGCCACAATCTGCCCGGAGGTCGACAAGAAAGCCAAATATGCCAAACGAATAGGATGTTTTCACTTATCGCTTGCACCTGAACTTTCGTATGCCAGTGCATTTCGTAGCTGGTGGAGGTGCATTTCAGAGGGTTTGAAATGCATGGGCGATCAGTGTTGTGTTTACAACAGAATGATTATGATTAGCATAAAACGAGCGCACGTTTCGGGTGAGGCAGCCTGCTTTCGGACCGCCTTGAGTAAAGCTCCGTTGCTGGACTGTCTGGACTGACTGAGTTACTGAGTCGGGCTGGTGGAGAGCTGGACGCAGTTACGTTAGCCGGGTATCGGTAGCGCAGAAGTTAAGCTACGTGTCTAGGACGCCAGAGCACGGGGCTCAATGCATTGCGGCGCCCGCAAGTCCTGTCCGAGGCGAGAGGCAGGTGAGACCACATGGCCTCAAAAGCTGAGTACGTCGTAAAGCCACAACGACGGTCGCGATCTTCGTTCGGATCTCAAGAGGTTCAGGCCACGACTTTTTGAAATTTGATCCGAAACCCTTGAATGGATAAATTTCTGGGATCAGCGCTCACGCTAAACAGTGCTTGTTTTGTGAGCCCCCACCATCCGATCGCGCAGTTCCAGGCAACGGCAGAATTTAGTAGCGAAAGCTTAACGTGCCGCAATGCTCGGCACGATTCGACCTGCCCTCTGACGTCAACTGACTTTCAGCGCGACCGCTGCCACCGGCCGCAGGCCATACCCGTCAAGGGTAAATGGCGAGCGCACAGAGCGACTAGAACCCACACCGCCAACGTGCTGTACGGCTAGACCCTGAACAGTTCATATGCTTATAAATTCTGTTTACACGTACGGGTAAGGATGGCGTCTTCAAAGGTCATCCAATGTCGCCAAGTTTTATGGTTCCAGTTACGCATGTTTTGTATTTGATGATCCGCGATATTGCCTTGTGCCACGCAGTTCGGAAGTTATGTTTGCCAGCCTTGGTACTGTTCCTTGCAAATATTTGCTGCGTCGTAATTCAGTTGATATTGATGGTTAGGATGGAAGGCCTGCCAAGTGAGAAACTTGCCAATAGTCGAAGAGTCAAAAAAGTTTCTACGTCACCAACTGAACATATGGTTAAAAGAAAAGTACGACCTAATCACAGTAATCCATCGAAATAATCAAAAAGGCATTCGTTAAAAAGTTATCGGTGGTTGTTAGCTGAAATCAGTGACTTGTTACCAACTGACGGCGAGCTTAGGCGCGTGTTTAATAAACCACAGTAACACTCTTGGCTCGCACAGCCACCGCGTGCGTTGGATGGTACAAGATTGCCATTCACTGAGTTAATGTCCATGGAATGGTAGTTCAGCGCGTCTATTTTGTTCAGCGGACTGCCTCAATCAAAATATAACCAATTACGAGATCATTAAAGGATCCCCCTTCACATTCAACCAATTACGTAATCGACGCGATAAGCATTTCTCAGGTTCGTCCTGTTAGGCGGCCTCGGAGCGCTGGAAAGAAAACCAAACTGGAGAGAATCGTAGCACTTCAGAGACGGCGATCGATTTGACCTCTGTGTGTCCGCGCCGAGCCCCGGCGGCTGCACATCAGGCCGATGGTGCCGCCCGCTCCCTGGTGTCGTGTTTCCGGTTCCCTGTCCGCACATTAGCTGTTCGCAGAGCGGCAATACCAGCGCGCCGTTATCGTCGCGGCGATGACGTCACGCGCCAGGTGGCCAACGCGGTGTGAAAAGGACCATCAGGGCGTCGCCTTTGCCGGGTCGGCTGAATTGGTGTCTATGGCGGGGGCCGGGGCGGTTCGAGGCAGACAGCCCGGCACAAAGACCGGGCCGCGCTGCTGATGGTGGTCCTTGACATGCGAGCGGGGCAGCGGGCCCGTCCCCACGCACGCCGTGAAGGCAGCGACGGCGCGGCGCCGGCGGCACTGAGGCCACCAACCACTCCGTGGCGCTGGCACGGGCGCCAAAAGGAGCGTAAGCTCAGGGGGCAGCAGAACTACAGGCAGCCAACATCAGAGCATGCAGTCGCGGCGTGCCGTGGCGGGGAGGGAGGATGGAGGGATGTTGGAGTCCAAATAAGCCGGATTCGACCCGATGAACGCCGGCAGCGATCGTCAGCTGTTGCCGACGGCCGACCTGCTCGGCGTCTCGTTCGCAGGCGGCCCGGCCAGTCCGCACGCAGCCGGGTGGTCAATCCAATCAGTACACGGTCATCAGCGTGCGTCGAAAAAGTGATTAGTCGGCATTAGACGGCGCCACCTTGACCAGAGCCGGCGGGCCGGCCATCGGCTGGTCAAATATGCATGCGGCGGGAGGAATCGACCGCTGGTGTGCCCGCCGAGGGCCCGACCGGCCTCGAGGACCACGCTCGGCCCTCCACGCCGGCAGCGATGGTGACCTGCGAGATGTGACGGACAGCCGGGAACTGCTCGTCCAGCCAGCGACAGGGTGGAAAGTTCGTCCTCGCAGGACTCGGCATGACATCGGCTATGACTCACAGACGTCAGACTACAGACTATGACTACAGACTATGACTATTACTACTGTGACTACAGACTCCGTTAGACCCGTCCGTTCATCTGATGCCATCTGACAGACTGTCAGACAGACTCTGACAGACTGCCAGACAGCATCAGCTGAACTGACAGTCACCTGCCGTCTACCGGTCCTCCACCAAACACGTATCAGCTCCACCAGCATCGACCGTTTACATCCGCTGTCTGCCATGTCCACGCTTCCCCTTTCCTCCATGCTCTTCTCGGTAACACCTAGGTTCTCTCCACTAACCTAACTGATCCGTGTCGTTTGCCTTCACAAAATACCACCCATCAGTCATGTAGTGAAGCCCAATCTGTGTCTAGGTTCTTCATGCCAATGTACCGAGCCGTTCAATGGCCGGCGGTTCCGATATTTAACTGGTCCTTGCTTTTCGTCAGTCAGCGTTACCAATCTGAACAATCCACCACCTGGCCTCTCATAACCCTAGCTGCTTCCATGCACCGATATCCATTCAATACCCATACTCAGCTCCATATCCATACCCATCATATCCACCAGCCTCCAGAAGCCCCCAAATCCTCAACCAAACCAGCCAACCAGCCTGCACCACCTGCACCAGCCTCCACCAGCCTCCACCAAGCTTTACCGTGCTCAACCGTTCTCCTACCTGACACGAATCGGTAGGCCGTGATCCACTCGGTGATAAACCCAATCACGTGTCGTTGCCCAGCCGTCATCGGCTCTGTATCGTTACAGTCTTCCTCGGCCAGCGGCGGCGGCAGCGGCGGCGGCGGCGACGCGGCCGGCCGCGCTGGCCTGGAGCTGGTGTCCCCCTGCACGCCGTCGTAGTGGGGGGCGCCGCGGCCGCGCCCGGCTGCGGAACACCCACAGTGACACCCTTGTGACACCCTCGCGACACCCCCGTGCACGCGTGCCAACACCCGCGCGACACCTCGCTGGCCCGGAGCAACAACTATCGACGTCGGGAAGCCCCAGGGTCACCCACGGATTCTGTCGGACAGCTGACTGCTGGCCGGTGATTGGGTGGGTTGGCGGGTTACATGTGGTGAAAGTGCGAGGTGAGAAAACAGGGGTTAGTAAAGGAGCTCATAGTGGTGACGGGAAGACGGTGGTTACGGTGATGGTGACCTGGTAGTCAGGACGTGACGTTTGCTGCATCCCTCGTTGCTGAGGGCGCCGGGGTAAAAACAGAACAGGAAGATCAGTCGCCGCGCCTTTTTAGTGGACGGGACAGAGATGGGGTGAACCGGAAAACGGAGCGGACGTGAAATGGCGGGACGGCACAGATGGCGCCACAAGCTGGGGAGAGTTTGGCACCGAGTGCGAGCGGGACAGGGCATGTCAAGATAGGCAGATATAATGAGGGTCAGCTTTTGGATGTCTGGCGTGCTTCAGGACCAGCACGGACAACAGTGTCCGGGCCGCATAGCGCAGGAGAGGAGACGTGGCTTCAGCCAATGCGGCGCAGGACAGGACTCACGGTTCTGGTCGAAGCAAGGGAAGGAGAGACCCATGAGCGGAACGTGAGGACTGAAGGCGGCATTGCTAACAGAGCGGCACGAGGGGTTAATGTACAGAAGAAACGAAGAGAGACATAGCGCACTGCCCGACAAGCATAAACTAAAAACAGCAGCATGAAGATGTCGACAAGAGCAATGCCATTCTGAGGTCTACGGCATACCACACGGCAGCTCTGATACACTTGAACTAGTGTAAAAATATAAACAGCACAACACAATTTGCCAGTTGCTTTCAGATGCTTTCTATGGCCCAGTTCATTCCACACTTTTAGCATACCATAAAAAACACATCAAGATGCACGGGTGTGTGAACAGTAGGGAGGTTTAGCTGCAAAGCAATAGGCATGTGATACGTTTTGCCAATCATTTTCTATGTTTCGGTGGACACTCAAGCATCGCACAAGTTCTTCGCACAAGTGTTTGTCGAGATCTTATATAGCAATTCATGGATGACTACGTCTACAGAACATTGTCTGCGGGGCACAAAACTATGCTGGGATATTGCGTAGCACGTTGCGCAATAGCCATATAGCCAGGTCCGACGGAAAAATAAAGCCTCACCAAGTTGTTATGCGAATAAGGCGACTGGCTATAATTTGAGAGCAATAACTTAGGTGGGAAGTGAAATTCAAGATACTTTCCACCTGATAATAAATGCTGTGGAATGTAAGACTTCCCGTGCGGATTCCATTTCATTATCACAATTTTTGGCAAGTTGATCTCAAATGTTCTTTACCACTGCAAAAATTTACCTATACTAACTACAAGGAAATTCGCAACGATAGGGGTGTTGCAGAACAAAAGCGGCCATTAACTCGGCGACGGCATGCATTCAGGAAGACCTTGACCCCTGTCATCCTCCGCGGATCGACCAGCGGTTCATTATTAAACGCACTGTGGCAAACCTCCATGGCGCCTGTGACGACGTCATGTCATGTCGGAGAGCCTCTACCCGGGACAAGCAGAGAAACGTCAAACATGGATGCATCTACGACGGCCGGCCCACCTCTCCCTGCTAGCTACAACAGCCTGCCCGACACGCCACTAGCTGGGATCGACTGCCAACGTTCGCCGAAGCGACGGCTCGAGCGGCGCTGCTCAAGTCGGTTGCCATGCCAACTACTAACACACCTATCATGCGGCATGGGTGTGCCTTGTGAATGTGCGTCGCTTACTGTGTGGCCGCGTATGACGGTGTGCCGGAATGCCGGAATAAAGTCTGACTGTCGGCTGAGTGATGAATTGTGGCGTGCGTGGGTCCATCAGTCCGGTGAGAGCTGAGCTCAATGCGTCGCGCGCTGTCGTAACGGCGGGTCCGCGGTGGCCGGCGTGGAGGTGCCCCAAATCCAACTAATGGTCCTCCTCTGACTAGTACCAGTCAGCCTTTCCAGCAGGGCGTATGCAACGTTTCGCAATGGGAGAAGGCATAGCTCAAATTGCTTATTGAAAAAAACCTATTGAAGTGCACCGCAGGCGAAGGACATTTCTTCCAAAAGCAGGTGTTCAATAGCACCGCACGTTTTCAATACTTGCATTCGTATGCATTTAACTCAATTCTTGAACTAAAGACCTCTGTTTACGCGCATATATATTAGACATGGATGATGGGAGAACGTGTCCCCGGTTCCCCTGCCACTTCAATTCGCCGCTCTCTTCCGGTGACTCCCCAGGGCGGCCGTGTGTCCAGTGACTGCGAACTAATCGGCCCGCAAGACGACACCGGAGCAAATGGACTCAGTCGCGGTGCATTTGTAATCGGCTAAAACCCAGGCCAGGTGCGGTTTCATCGACGGAAATAGAGTCGCTTACGACCACGCACCATCGTCCTTGGTCGCTGTCGTTCGCCGGGGAGCCCATTTCGCGAACTTCGGACAGCCATATCAATCCATCCACCCGGGGAAAACATGTTCGTTGGTAAGCAGCGGGTAATGTGTTATCGTATCGGCAAATGCAATCAAGGCTGGAATTTGTTTTTAATGGCATTACCATTACCTATAACCGTCTTTATCATTCCAGTTTTGATAGATTTCCGAAAACAATTTAGGGTGCTATTACTTCCCAACTGCAGGTTCTCCACAGGTGGCGCGAGCGTTCAGGTGGGGTTCAGACTTCTATGGTCAGCTGGTCGACTTCGAGGTCTTTGATCAAGGGATTTGGCGAGGGTGCTCCTTCAAGAGCTTTATCTTAATCTCAATTCAGCTTAGTTCTTTCTGAAACTGGTGCTTCACAAAAGAGGTCCCTAAAAGGGTAAACAAACAAACACTTCCATTGTTAAGATAGGATGGGGAGGGGAAGATCTTTAAACAGCCAAGCGCAGCGTAATCGTTTCGCTGCACAGCGGTCCTCTGTCTGTGGTTCCAGGTTTTTAAAGGTATATATTGTTCAAAAACTTGGGCATTTCATCTGGCTTCATTTTTCGTTGGTGAGACCGTTTACCACGTGACAATTTCATCTTCTAGCAAACTTTTATGCTGATGGCAAGTTCGAGTGATAATGCACCAGGCCAACTGCGAGTAGACCCTTGATCTTTACTTTCCTGGAGGCCTGAACGTCTTCGAGCAGATACTAGCGCCATCTATTTTACTTTTAGTACTTACTTTTGCCGCTGCGTGGCGTGCTTGGTGCGTCCTTCCCAGATGGTAAGTGACGGTCGGCCGGAGGAACTTCCGTAGCGTTCTGTCGCGCCTCCTCATCCTCTTGGTCGTACTGTTCTCGAAGAATTTTCTTTGGAACTGCAAGCACAATGAGAATCCTCAGCTTTGTCCCGTACTAAGCACAGTGGGCGTGACTGTCATTCACATCTTTGACCTTGAGTGCGAACAGAGAAAATCCATGCAATGGTCTAAAAGTGAAAGTTAAAAATCGAGGCAACGATTTGGATTTGATGATATGCTACCGGGATTGAAAAGATATCAAGCACTATGGTAAAGCATAGCATAAATATCGTATGCATCTTTGTTTGTCATATCTAGCCGCATTTTAGAGTATTTTACACATTACTAGTCACGTTAAACCTGGTAAGAGCCTGACGAAACCTCCAATAAGCGCGAATTAGAAACTACTACGCTCGCAGCACGGTGGCCTTCCCCTGCATCCCGCCATTTCAGTAAACCCACAGCGTGCTAAATAAAAACTCAGTATGAGGCACAGCTTTAACGCGCCTCATATATCTCCGGTAATCTAATCCCACGCAATCCGCGGCTAAACTACGCCCACACGTCATTCGGACAGCTCACGACAGGGAAGAGGGACAGTAACCCGGCCAAGCTGGGGCGAGATCTGCGTCAGTTCCTGCCCTGCCTTGTTCGCCCAGCTGCTCACCGCAGGTGTAGGTGACCTTGAGGTACGTGTTGTGGTCGGCCGGGCAGGGTCGGTTGAAGAAGGCTGGGTCTGCGTTCAGCTCGCAGCTCTCCCTGCCCTGGCACTGGTTGATCATCTTCTCCGAGGTGAAGCTCGCCTGGCAGTCTGGTGACGCAGAGCTTCAGTCAGCGCACAGACGGAGACGGTGTCAGGCAAGCGACAGAAGTAACCCAAGCTTCCCAGACGTACCATTAGCGCGTCTGGGAAGCCAGAGGTTCGGGGTTCGATTCCTGGCGGTGCCCACCCTCCCTGCAAAGGTGATAAGCAAGCCCTGGCTCAACAGCTCGGTGCGGCGTTCGCGCAGTCAAGCGTCATTTGGCCTTGGACTGTCGCGGCTGCTCACGCCACTTTAAGTTTATTCACGAAGAGCAGGGAAATCCGAGCGAAAACTGGGACCGAGGTCATGACTGCATGCTTGATTATACGTTGGTGGTGGTGCCATGTTCGTTCATGGTGTCACTCCCATCACTTAGGCCTTAGTCATGCACCTTCATTGCTATCCATGCACACTTGAAAGACGCCGTCAACTTCTGGCCGCTTTGGAAGTGGGCAAGAAAGGCCTGCTCGTCGATCCACGGCTAGAGTGTGCCACCGTTATCCACGACACGCTGGGGGCAATCTCCCAGGTCAAGGTCAAGAGAGCAGCTCGGCGCGACGTAGATGCCGGAGGCACTCGCTGGACGAGCCTGTTTCGCAGGGCTGGAGAGGGGACCGAACATCGGCCATCGGCCTGGGTGCCAGGGATGTGAGCCTTTCGTCTTCTCCCCAAACATAAGAAAATCGGTAACAGGCTTCTAAACGGGCGAAAAAGATTGGAAACACTTTTGAAATGTCCGGCGCGCCACAAAGTTGCGACTGTTCTTGGATGATGCAATAATATATATATATATATATATATATATATATATATATATATATATATATATATGAAACTAATGAAACTGGCATTTCATTAGCGGGCTGACACATGTGTCGGCTTGCGGCGCTGCCACAGTCCCTCGAAAGCCACTTCCACGCTGCCGTCCGAGGCCTGCAGCAGGAGCGGGCGGGAGGCTACCATGCGGCTTCAGCCTGTTACGCAACACACATGCTTCGGAGAGCTGAAGCTGGACCGACGGCCGGCGCTCGTGGCTGCTGCGAGGGCGTTCCAGATCGTCCTTGGCCCACCGTGACGCCGTGACGCCGCGGAGACGTTCCATCGTCCGCACGCAGCGGACGTCGCGTCACAGCGGGTCGTCTGACACGTAACGACGGCACTCACTTGTGATCTTGACGCCCGGGGCCTGCAGGCACTGTATGCTGCCGTGCTCGGTGACGCCGAAGCTGGCCGAGTAGATGGCGATCCTGCTCCGGTCGCAGCTGATCTTCCGCCTCTCGCCCTGGCACACCACCTCACTCCGGAACAGGCCTGCGGCGGCGGCACAGCGCGATGGACACAGCGCGATGGGCACAGCGCGATGACAGCGCAAAGGGAACAGCGCAATGACACAGCGCAATGGACACAGCGCAACGGGCACAGTGCAATGGGAACAGCGCAATGGAAACAGCGCAAAGACGCAGCGCGATGGGCACAGCGCAATGGGAACAGCGCAATGGGCACAGCGCAATGACAGCGCAATGGGCACAGCGCAATGGGCACAGCGCAATGGGCACAGCGCGGTCGGGACGTCAGTCTCACTGCGCACCGCAAGTCGACTGGGGAAGCTCATACCATGACGAAGCGTGCAAATGATGATCCCACACCGGCCTGGGCCCGCACAGCCCTAGGCGATTTAGTCGCTTATCCAGCTGTAGTGAGTGCGGTCATGACCCACTGCTCACCCCGCTCATATCGCCCGAGATCCGTGTGGGTGGCGGGAGAAACCGGGTCGGCGGCTATTGGGTGTAATACAAAACCTCTGTAACATTTCAGTGACTGAAATAGCATCTTCAGTGACAATGATATGATATGACGTCTCCAGCGATGCCCAGAGTGACCGCCTAACAGCAGATATCCCAGAATGCAGCATGACGACAGGGAATTCTGAATTCTGCTTCAGGTGAGCGGAATATCTATGGGTCTCGGGGCGATACACTGTTCTGCACCGAACCACCGTACAACAGTCAACGCGCTCGCCTCGTCGCTGGACACACGTCAGCCGGCAGAGACCGTACGTCGCCCGCGACAGATGCCAGCAGCAATCAGGACCGGAAGCGCGATCGTTCGCAGGCCGGGCCCCCGCGCCGCGTGACATCGCCGGTGGGGGGGGGGGGGGGGGGCACCCAACACGTCGGCGCGACCCCGGCACAGCCCCAATTACACCCGCGATCTGGCCAATTACCGATCAGGAGCAGCGCTTGCGCCCTGATCGCGGGCCAATAGGATCACGCCGCCCGGCGACAGCGGATTTGCAGGCTATCGCACCAGGCGCCGTCGCTGTGCGGCGAAATGCCGTTCGATCCGCCAGGCCGTCTGCACGGGCAGCTCGCACGACGCGCCGGCGTGGAGCCGCTTCCGGGCGACTCAGAGGCCGTGGCAGAGGTCAGTGGGACCAATGGAGTGAATGTATCACGGCAGGCGGTCTTGCAGGGAGCGGAGCCGGCACATCCAGCCGGCCTTCGGGTGGCTCCAATCAGCACCGAGATCTGACCGCAGTCTGAAAGTCTGATCATCGCGGCGCATCGGAAACGGACGGTGAACTCGCAAGCCCGCAAGAGTCTGTTGCGGTCTACAGCCCCAGCCCTCCCCTTGAGCCGACAGAAGTGGTTCTGAAGCGACGCTCGGCGCCAGCACGCTGCCCATGACCTTCGCCCTGCGATCACTTCACGGATCGCTTACTCGGCTGGCACTTGTAGAGCACTTCGACGAACTTCCTGATGCCCGGGCAGGGGTCGACGCCGAACGCTTTGGGCGACGTCTGCAAACGACAGCTCTGCTTGCCTCCGCACTCGGCAATCACCACCTGCCGGACGAACGCTGCGTCAAAGCGGACGGGCATGTATCGTACGCAAGGCAACCATTACGTCATCAAAGAGCGCAACACTCAGTCTTCGTACCGACGCTTCGAACTCTGTTTCTGTTGAACTGTTTCGAGATGCCTTACGGACGCAGACGTGCACTTGGCCACGCCGGATGCATGGCACCAAGAGATTTTGCGTTCATAAGTGAAGGCGGTGCGTCTTCTTATTGCATAATGCGATCATACGGCAAGGGGTGGGGAAGACGGCCACGTTCATATATCTAACGGCCGTAGGGAATGCAGGACGACAGGAGGACTGTTTCAAAACGCATCTGACCGTCACAAGACGGATCAGGGTCGTCCTAGATACATCTGGCCGATAAGGGGTCCTGGAGAGGCGGGGCAATGAGTCTGTTGGGTGTGCTTAGCTGGCCACGATACATGTTATGGTACACTATGCGTACCAACTCGGTCAAAGGGAAAACAATAGGGGTTGCTGGGTGCACCTTGCCGGCCTCGGGCACGGAGGAGGTGCAATCTTTGGATCGGGGCGAAATAGTTGCAGTCGTTTGGTCAGGACGTGGTTCGCTAGCTGGAGCAGAAGCCAATGGTTATCATCTAGCTCATCTGGTATGGTCAGCAGGCATCAGTTGTGTAACCGTTGGAAACCTGAGCATGCTGGAAGATCCATAACCGCCCGAGGCGGCATCAACTCCGATCAAGTAGCAAGTTTATCAGCTAAAAACGGACTGCAGCCTCCGCAAAGACCAAGGTCTCACAAAAAATGTGCTGCAGCTGCATCAGAGTCCCACATAAAACTGGTCTGCAGGTACGTGGGAATGGGACACACGCAATAGACCTCACGTCCACGCTATGCATACACGTGACCAACTAAACGAGCACTGTGTAAATGCTCCGCCACCGTACATACACACCTCCCGACAGGTTTATGAACGAGGACCATTTGAGACACCCCAAGCGCGTGACATCGGCTGGGTTTATCGCGGCTGAAGACTAGGTGAGATTAACAGGATCGACCTCTTAAATCCAGACACGATTCAGAAGCCGTAATTGCAGCTTCATCAAGTTGATTAAAACTGCCCATTGACCCCCATTGCAGGGCCCAATGAAGCGATAAATAACGCCTGGTCAGAGTCTGACTTGGCTGTGAGGATGGGCGCTTCCTGGGTATCACCACCCAAGCCCTCCTGGGGGGCCTGGCCTCTATAAAAAGAAAGGGGCGGTCGCAGGTTGAACATGTGACCAAGCACAAACCTATCCTTTGTGTGTGTCGCTGCCATTAGTTTCGATCATTTTACTCTATCGGCTTTAAGTTATCAAACACTCTTTCCGCCACAAATTCAGAGTGAATTAGTTGCGCAGCACAGGCCCTGATCAAGGATGCCAGCCAGTTCCCTGAAAGGAATGGTCGCGAGTTTACTTGACAGGCCATCTATAACATACGACCCATTTCAGTTTGTAAATCACACCCCGGAAAATGACGCAACGGAAACAAGAATTCATTTAAAACCCATTTAGGCGCTATAGTTTGTTCGTTTTCGACGACTATTGCGAGAGCGCCTACACATGTTTTTAATAAGACATTTGTGCGTCCAAATGTCCAAATGGACGCAAATCACTTTGATTTCAGCTGACATCACGTCTCACGGGATTCCAAGTCTCATTAACTCTACATTAGCAAGAAGCGAGGGACACATTTGGCTCCGCAATTTCAGCGGGCGTGCTTGCAGCGCCATACGTTAAGATCAAGACCCCGCCCAACTGCAGCACAGCGCCACAGGGCTGTTAAAGTGCGGCGCGTAACTCCGACAGACAACGGCGATCCATCAGCGTAAACTTGCGCGGCCTGGAGCGCATTCAGCTGGAAGACCGGAGTCCTTGCAGCTCCAGCACTCGGACGGACGTGCTCGGCTGCCTTTTGATGTGGCAATGTCGTTTGTATTACAACGAACGCCTCCGAACAACGCCGAATGCCCTGCATCGTGCAGGCAAATGAGAGAAAAACGACGAGCGGGGCATCACATAGATTCGAGCAAGGTAAGAAACCCGATGGACGCGTGTAACACCCACGTCAAATGTACAATACCAAGCTTACCACGCCCTGAAAATCAATCATGAATAACTGCATTACTGATATTTTGCATCGGCCGCTTTAAACTTACACTTTTTCTGAAGCAGAGCCTATTGGGTGAACGCTGAAATTAGCCCAAGTGAAACCTCTCCACTTCGTGAGTTGACTTTGATTCCCGCTTTTTTCGTCGACAGAACTGCGAGGACCATCTTTGGTGCCGCATAATGTTACACCACGACCGCCCCACACCAGATCCACCTTGTTTGATTCATTCCCAGCTGACCTTTCCATGCCGGTTGAATCACGCGAGGAGCACGTTCTCGGATTCATAGCCAGCACTGCTTGATTGTTAGTCCGGTGTATTTGTGTTAAATCTCGGTGCAGAGCATTAGTGAGTTTAGAACCTTGTTCCACGTCAGTTGAAGGGAAGTCTTTCTGTTCTTAACACGCGCCCGGGTGACCCCTTGAATACCATGCGCTCGGGTGGGCGGGGGTCGATTCGACCCCCTGCGATCTCGGAAACTAAGACAGGGACACAAAATTCACAGGGTGCGTTGGGCTGTACATAAACTTAGTTTTGTCACAATTTTGGGTCCATACATCGTGATCTTGGGGTTAAATAAGGTCAACCAAGGTCAAACTCCAGATTGGTGTCTTAAGCGCCTCCAGACCTCTTGTGCAATCGCCGTGAAGCTACATACCTGTCCTAGGCAAAAGGTTAATCAGGTCTGTGACATGTATTGACCTTCATAAGGTCAAGGTGGGCAAATACCTACAACATTGCCCTAGTTTGTCATTCGAATAAGTGTCAGGGATTACGCTAAGCGATATGTTCCTAAAAACAAAGTGTTGACCTGGGTCATTTTTGGTCAGTCACCTACTCTGACCTTTAAAAAGCCAATGGAATGCGTCTGTTGCTGTACCTGTCATCTATAAATTCGAAATGAGCGCCGAAAATTACTGCATAAGACCAGCTATCCAGTAAAACACAGGTTAGTTTTGACCTCGTTATGATTCGAGGTCAACAATATTGGTTTTAATTCTTAATTCAATTGGTTTGTTGGCTGAGAAACTATCCCAGATATGTATAGCTTTGTCTAACTCTCCGTTGTTGCATCATTTGAAACGATTCCCCAGAAATGCCTTTCACTGACGGCCATGGCCTAAATTTGGTTTGCAGTAGGTCAGCGAACTTACAAAATACATTTAATTTTGACATCAAGATATCCGTTATCTAACACTCTACACCTCTGCAAATTTTGGCGCGGCTACGCTGCGCCGTTCGGAGGTCATTTTGTTTTTTTGTTTTTAAAGGTTTGACCCCCTCCCACCCGAGATTGTGTTGGACCATTAGAACAATATGCTTAACGACAGCACAAATAGAAGTGCAGATCTATCAGGAGCCTGTGACCAAAAGACACAATAATGAAAATCTTCAGTCCAGACTTCAAAGGTAAACACGCATCTTGCCATGTATGCCCTTGGCGTCTTGCCATTCGGCATTTGCTACTCCCGCGCAATAACCTTCGGTGACACCTCGTCATTGGCCACTAATGGAAAACAAAAATTTAGTCGGCGATTTGGTTTGACGGCAAACGCCCTGAAAAAGTACAGAGGCACTCAAAACTACACGTCTTCAAAAAAGCCACAACTTCAGAAAACAAGCGTCAGCCCCTACGTCACGCCATCAACAACAGAACGTGATTTTCTCATGCGCATGACACATTGATCCATCGTGTATGATCCATCACCTCAGTTACGAACTGCTGCTATAGACAGTTTCCCGAGTCAGTGGCGGTAATGCGGCACCCTCCTTCCGAGGGCCGGCCACTGATGACGTAGCTGGCTTCTCCAACTCCATCGCCACCAGATTCAGTTCTACACTGACTGTTTCGGCGTCGATAGAAAGCCCTGTCCTGACACTTGCCACTGGATGTTTGGAAGCCACGCGGGGCGCTTTGAAACCTCTTGAACAAGTCTGCTGATCGCTATGTTTATAACCGGCCACTAGGACACAAGTTTATAACTGGCCACTAAGCAAGCAGCACCAAAAGCACATCTGGAACATATGATCTGTAGGTATTCGGCCACGATATAATCTGAACAAACTGCACTGTATGTAGATAACACGCGTAAGGGCCCTTCGTCACCGCCTGGCAAGACATCTAACCTCGAGGCCTCGATGATGTCATCTACCACAGCAGACATGGCGTTTCCACGTGAAGCGACGCTCGCGCCACAGCTCTTGTCCACGCTCTTGATCTCCGCCGCACACGCAGGGACACACGCCTCCAATCTGTTCCCTGCATTATGTTTTGCTCCGGTCTGTTTGGCGGTTTGCGTCTTCGGCTCTCCTCTTATTCCCATGATTAATTTTCCTTGCTAGCGTGCCTCTAGCCTTGCATTCACCTCATCACATTTCCTTTCATCCCCCGAAACGCATACTTATGCTCGTAAAACCAGTCTTTTCGCAGCTGCGCCCTTGCATCTCGATTAATATTATGCGGAAATTAATTCGGTCTGGTGTTTTATGCTCGGTTATAGTGCGTAGCATTTCAAAGCAATAAACAAGCAATCGAGCGCGAGGCTATGATACACCAGATATCACCCGATATCAAGGGTGATATCAGTGATGATACAAGCCCGACAGCCGTGAGTCAGGACCCCACTCAGACACCAGCGCCCAATGTATGCGGTATGTACATCTTCGAAAGTGTCGTTGGCTTGGAGCTAAGGACGTTTTCCCCGTTTTCTGGCTCAAAATGTTTTTAGAGACCTAGTTAAGCCATATCTATGTGACATCCCAACGTCACACCAAAATTGTGCAGTGAGATGGGTATTTATAATATTATAGCAAACATTTCAAGACCGTAACTGTCTTGAACCTTCTCTTCAGCACTATGAAGGCTAGGAATTGATTCAGTGCGGGCTACAAAACGCCTGGAGGAGCCTGAAATACTGTCGACTGACGAAATTCATAGAAATATTGTATCAATTTAAATGTGTATAGCACTACCATTCGGCCAGCTCTATTCCGCTCCTTCTTGCACCTTCATTTCAAGTCTCGATGGAGCTTTTGTTTTTATCCTAATATGTTCATTTCAGCGTTGAAGCTTCCTATCCATTTATGAAGAGGAGAGGAAAGCCGGTCACATCAACGGAAAAACAGGTTTTAAACATGTTGGGAATAGGCTAGGTCATTTACCCTGCTCAGCCCACCACCTCGTGAAACAACATCCTGGTAAGTGATTATTTTCCCAGCATAAAACACATATCGGACTGACGAATATCACGTCCTGTAGACAACCACAGCAGATATATCGTGTTCAATTGCCTATGATTCCGAATCGTGCCGCACGAAATGAAACAATCCACCTTCGGATATCTTACAATATCACTGAACGTAAAGTGGGCAGAGTAGCGTCGGTAACCGTTCGACAATGGCCACAGAGGTGCTGAAGCTTTTTATTAAATGACTGTCCATTAATTCCCAGTACCTTACTATTACGTCTTGCAACAATGCCAGCATAACTATAGGATCTTCATCCAAACAGGGAGCCTAACAGGAACTACAAAAATCCCTTTCCCAACTCAAAATGAGTGCATTGTACACGCAGTTCACCAGCAATGCACCTGCCACAGCCACACACCAAACCGCCTGCACAGCACGCCGTGACACTGCTTGCTCCCACACTTAGGCCACGCGCCGAGTCCTCACCTTGAGCGCATTCCTGTCCATGCAGTCGGTGTTGTTGACCCACTCCATGTCTCGCGGATGGCCGCAGAGGTCGGGCTTGGAGGCCAGCCGGCCGTACTGCACCAGGTTGATGGAGACGGTCGTGTCGGGCGGACACTCGAGCCTCAGCTCGTCGCCGTCGCAGGACGCTACTTGGAATGTGCGGAGCGTTCCTGACAAGAGAGCTAGAATGTAGAAGAGGAGAGAGCCGCGTGTGAGGAGGGGCCCGGCACCAGGAGAGGCAGCGCAGCGTGCGTTAGAGGCGTGGCGGCGGCACGCGGCGTGCGGGGCGCTGCGCTGCACACGTGCACGTGCACGTGCGCCGTGCGACGAGCGTGCATGCGTGCAGCGGTGACGTGCGCTAGAAGCCAGGCTGCGGCCGCGGCGGCTGCGGCGGCGGCGGCGGCGGCGGCGGCGGTGGCAACAGCGCGTGCAACACATGCTACACGTCTTGCACCCATGCAACGTGCTTGCATGTTCAGCTGGGCGTCGGGCTCGTCGGCTGACGCGCGTGAGCGGGCCGTCAGCCGGCGGGGAATCAGCTCGCCTGCCCGTCAGGAGGACAGCGCGCTGCGCCGGCCGCCGGCGTCTGACCAGCCGGCTGGGACACGCGAGCGGGCCTCCCGACGAGACGCCGTCGGCCAGGGCACGGCAGCGAGGCGGACGTGGGAGGATGCCGCGCCGCTCAGTCGGCGGCTCGGGCGCGGGCGATCGCGCTGGCCCGGGACGACATGGCCCCGGCTCAGTGCACAGGTGCGCGTGGGGCGTGACCGGGGTCAGTTGGCTCGTGTGCTGCAGGGGCGCAGCCGCCAGCTGGTGCACGTGTCTCGTAAGGCTGCACGTTCGGCCCCGGCCGTGGGTGGTCTCTGGGCTGGACCGCAGGGCGGGGGAGGGGGCTGGATCGTCCTTTGTAGTAATGCTCGGGTGGGCCAGCTCAGCCGCGCGGCAGGCCGACCATCGCGGAAACGGACCCCGATAGGAAAGACGCCACCCGCGGGCGAGAGCCAGACGGAGAGAGAAGCAAGGTTGTGGCAGAAAGAGGCCGGGGGACTGGGATTCGAAGACGAGGTCATGTTTCTAAATACGCTCACAACTGCGGCACAAGACGTTAGGGTTAACAACAGCATCAAAATCAAAAGCGATGTGTTATACAGCGATCAACAACTGATTTAGTAAAGGGTTAGAAGGGTTGCAAATACGGCCGCACAGAGCGGCGGTGCGCTGGCCGACAGCACAACGATACAAAGGTGCACAGACTACAGCCGCACGACTTTACGACATTTAAAGATTTAAAGATTTAAATAGCAAAATGACATTAGAGCAAACCGAACACACAATCACACGTCAAGAGACGGCAGCACACAGTTCATTTTCAGCGCGTTTTGGCTGAGAGCTTTCGGCTAAAACAAGACAAAATTTGAACAACTTAGCATTTCATTCCAAGCACAATCTACTTTTCATCAGTACCTCTTCGAAACATCCTCAAAGAAATACAGTGAGTTTTCAGGAGTCAGCTAGGCCAGTGTGACTCGGAGCGCGTTACGGTGCACGTGACACTAGTGACCCCCCGTTATAATGCAGTCTGACCCTGCAACGGCGTCTTGTGATGGGGAGCCGTGACCCTCCAATGACGCCCGTTTTGGTGTACTTTGACTCTGCAGCAGCGTCTTGTGATGGGGAATCGTGGCACTCCAGTGACGCCCCGTTACGTTGCAGTGTGACTCTATAGCGGCGTCTCGTGATGGGGAACCGTGGCACTCCAGTGACGCCCCGTTATGTTGCAGTGTGACTCTATAGAGGCGTCTCGTGATGGGGAATCGTGGCACTCCAGTGACGCCCCGTTATGGTGCAGTGTGACTCTATAGCGGCGTCTCGTGATGGGGAATCGTGGCACTCCAGTGACGCCCCGTTATGGTGCAGTGTGACTCTATAGCGGCGTCTCGTGATGGGGAATCGCAACACTCCAATGATGTCCTATTATGGCACGGCGTGAAGCTCTAGTAACCGTCGCAACTATTCAGTGGATTTAGGTATATACAGAGTCCTTTTTACGATGCAGTGTGCTACGTTGGTGATTGCCCAATACTGGTGCGGTGCGATGTCTCGTGACACCTCGTGGTGGTGCGATGTTACACCGGTCGCGTCTAGAGATGCCGCAAAACTACGCTGGTGACGCCCCGCTACGATCCAGCGGAGTACCGACCGACGCCTAGCAGAGGTGTAGTGTGACACCCCAATAACACGCGTGACGTCGACGCCAGGTGACGGGGGGCGGCGACACAAAAACGGCGGCCCGGAAGCGACGCTTTTTACGGTGACGACACCCGCGACCGGCGCGCACGACACTGCGGCGGCAGCGGGCGATGACGCCCGAGATAGTGCCGGCGCGCCCCCATCACCAGCTGCGGGCCGCGACTGCCGCGCTCGCGCTGCTATCGCGCCGGCCACGTCCACGTGAATCAGCGGCTCGCACGTGTGAGCTGTGATCCACGGCTCGCACGTGTGAGCTGAGATCCACGGCGCTGTGATCACGTCTCGCCCGCTTGTGAGCAGGAGCCCCACACTTTGCTGGAGGGTGCTGATGCCGTTTGATCTGGACGAACAGCTGATTGGGAACAGACGGCGCCTGTCGGTTCAAAGCTTGCTGCGCACTTGGATTTTCAGCTCTTATCGAAAGGGCAAGGCCAGTGGTCACACGGCAAGCCAATGGCCATGCGCTTTTCGAACAGACATACTACTGCTCTCATTCTGAGCCAACAAGGCTCCTGATGTTCTGGTAATAATCCGTCACTTATGTGCAGCGCTGCTTGCCTCCCCCCCCCCCCTTTCCCCCTGCCCAGTCCCTTATCAGCGTGACACACTCCAGAGCTGTGTCCAGGAAATCCAGAGGAGATCCCGAAAACCCAGCCGCGTGTGGCGACGCGTCAGCCCCCCCCTCTCCTCCCTCCCCAGGTCATGTCGACCCAATGTCTGATCGCCGGGACAGTGGCTGCGGCGGCCCCATTTGGCGGTGACGGCGGTGCTTAGCACGACGTGCTGATGTGAATAAACTCGCGGCAACAGGGGCATGGTGAGACGCACAGGATGACATGGGAGACGGGGAGCATGGGTGACACAGGACACGGAGACACGGGACACGGGGAGGGTGGGTGACACGAGATACGGAGAGCGTGGGTGACACGGACACAGGGAGCATGGGTGGGACGGGACACAGGGAGCGTGGGCGACACAAGACACAGGGAGGTACGGGACACGGGGAGTGGGTGACACGGGACACGGGGAGCGTGGGTGGCACAGGACAAGGGGAGCATGGGTGACACAGGACACGGGAGGGTGGGTGGCACGGGACACGGGAGCGTGGGTGACACAGGACACGGGAGACACAGGACACGGGGAGCATGGACGACACAGGACACAGGGAGACACGAGACACGAAAAGCGTGGATGGCACAGGACACAGGGGGACATGGGACATGGGAGCATGGGTGGCATAGGACGCACGAGCATAGGTGACATGGGACACATGGAGCGTGGGTGACACGGGATACCGGAGCATGGGTGGGACGGGACACAGGAGCGTGGGCGACACAGGACAAGGAGGCACGGGACACGGGAGGGTGGTGACACGGGCACGGGAGCGTGTTGTCCAGGACAAGGGAGCATGGGTGACACAGACACGGAGGGTGGGTGGCACGGGACACGGGAGCGTGGGTGACACAGGACACGGGAGGCACGGGACACGGGGAGCATGGACGACACAGGACACAGGGAGACACGAGACACGGGAAGCTTGGATGGCATAGGACACAGGAGACATGGGACATGGGTAGCATGGGTGGCGTAGGACGCACGGAGCATGGGTGACATGGGACACATGGAACGTGGGTGACACGGGATACAGGGAGCATGGGTGACACGGGCCACAAGGAGCATGGGTGACACGGGACACAGGGAGCGTGATGACACGGGACACAGAGCATGGGTGACACGGGACACAGGGAGCATGGGTGACACGGAACACAGGGAGCGTGGGTGACCCACCACACAGGGAGCATGGTGCACGGGACACAGGGAGCGTGTGACACGGGACCAGGAGCGTGTGGTTACACGTACACAGGGAGCATGGTGCACAGGACACAGGGAGAATGATGACACGGACACAAGGAGCATGGGTGACACGGGACACAGGGAGCATGAGTGGCACGGGACATAGGGAGCATGGGTGGCACGGGACACAGGGAGGATGGGTGGCACGTGACACAGGGAGACTGAGTGATATGGGCGCAAGGAGCTGGTGACACGAGACACAGGGAGTGTGGGTAACACGGAACACAGGGAGCGTGGGTGACCCATCACACAGGGCAGCGTGGGTGAATGGAGTATGGGTGACAGGGCACTACGGAGCGCAGCTGATAGGGGACACAGGGAGCGTGGGTGACACGGTTCATAGGTAGCGTGAGTGACACGGGGTGCAGTTTCTCAATATTGTCCCGGGCAAGAGTCATCGCGTGCAAAAGTGGCATTGACCGTACCCAAACCCACCCAACATTGCTCCTTCCTTTCCAATCGCCCGCAGAGCTGCAGCTGTAGAAAATAACTACGACTGAAACACTGAGTTAGTGATGATGTGCGGTTTATGTAGGCTTATTTTTAGCGCATTACAACTCGCCTATCTGTATCAGCATGGAGTGTGGGCAACCGACCCCCGTGGTCGGTCGCCCGTGGTCGGTTGCCCGTGCCAAGCATGGTCGTGCGCTGCCCGTCAGCTGATCCCTTCTACCCGGTGGCACGTTTGGTGACGTCACATATCCCGAGGAGGCCACCATCACGCGGTCGCGACCCGTTTAGCTGGAGGCTAGCCTCCCAATCCAGCTGTGCCCCTCCCCTCTTTCCCCTTCAATTCACGCTGATCCCAAATCCTCAATCGACGCTAGCTTGCACAAAGCCTTCAGGGCACGGCGCGTTCCACGAGCGATGACTTGTGCACAAATCCGACTTCACCGTAAGCGTGTGTACTTTTCGAAACGCGTAAAAGTTGTAGTATCGCCTCGTCTAGCAGAATCTGACCTCACGCAGGCCCGGGGCGTCACTAGGTCACCGTTCACCAGCGTCCGTGCCAGGTCCCGGGCAGTGTCCTCCAGCTTAACCTGAAACAAAATAGCATCTGGCTCAGTCCCTGCGTGTG